CCTCCATCCTGTGGGCATCCCAGCTCTCTTGCCATCACTGCGATGACCTCCGAGGTCCAGACTGTCTAACAGGGCCAGAGCCCGTTCCACAGCAAGGGCCCAGACTTACTCACTGGAGGTGCCTGATCGTTCAGGGGAAATGAGTAGTCAGGTGGTCTCTCAAGGATAGCCTGCCTCCCCCCGCCCAGCACATTCCCCTCAAAGGGAATTGACACTTACAGTGAGGCTTTGAAGGTGTGGAGTGGAGTGGGGTCTGCAGGGATGCTGCTGGGCTCACATGGGTCCTCGGAGGCTTTGGGCTTTCCTGCTGCCTGTTGCAAAGGGGTTCAGTGGCCCTGGGGCTGCTTGTGGGTGAAGCTCCACGCTGTGTCCCCTACTGAATGCCCAGGCCACCTCCCCCAGCACACACACACACTGCTTTCATCTTGGGAGGGACAGAAGAGGAAAACTCGCTTCAGTGTCCCCTGTGGTGACCCGATCTAGAGACTGTTATCTTTCATGTGTTTCTTCTCCTTCTGATTTTTATATCCATATTTAAATTATGCTCGGGGAAGTCATTTATTGCATTCCCCAGGCTCACAGTAGAAAGCATATGAGATCCTTGATAAACTTAATATATTTATATTAAAAATTAATAAGAAAGCCATATTGTTTCCAACTTTAAATCATAATTTGATCTCATTCATTTTATTTAATACATGGCCACAATTCTAAAATTACTTTAAAAAAAAAGATATGATGAGATGGAAATCAGTTCTGGGGGCCTTTTATTTCTCAAAGAGCCCTGTGCCTCTCATGTGGCAGACAATCTACATTTGCCGTTTCCGGTGTGACATTTAGAATCCGTACGTGGGTGCAGCGCATCCCACTGGCAGCTTCAGATGAATCCTCCGTCATGATTGCAAGCAGGCTCCTTCTAAATGCTACCATTAAAAAATAAAATTTAATGGAAAGAGAGAAGCTTTCCCCAAACCGAGCCTGCTCCAATTTTATATGTCCTTAATCTGTTTTATAGGGCACTACAGGAAATTAAACTGGAATTGTTCTCTCTGATATGCACATGTCTAGCTTTGGGGGGGGGGGGTGCTGAGAGCGGGGAGACTCAAGCTCCCGGCAACAGTTGCTCTGGCTTGTCCAAGATTTACCGCAGCTTTACTTTGGGGGTGAGGCGGGAGGAAGCATTCTTCTTCTTCCAGCTGAGCCCAAGAGGTGTCCTGAGCTCGCAGGGCTCTCTTCTGTCCCAGGCAGGTATTTGCCCCAGGACCGTGGTCGACACAAGTGGCATCCGTGGTAGACACGAGAACCAGATGTCCTCCATCATCAGCTCTGCCCTGCTCGGCATGTCACATCGTTGGTACCTGCCAACGCATGAAAGTCGCGGGCAGACTTAGCATTCTTTTCTTCTTTCTCTCTGTTTCTCTTCTGTATATGACTGTCACTCAGAGAAAATCGTGTTGATTAATTATACCTAAGCTCTGGTTTCTGCACAAGTGACGTACTTTTGGTCCTTATCCCACCCCACCCGACCCCCACCTCCTATCATCACGTTAGTCCTCTGCCCCCTCCCTATGCTCCTGTCCTCTGCTTCTAGCCATCGTGGTGCACAGACTCCTGGGACACCAGCTCCCTATTCCCGTATGACCCTAGTGTTGAGGTCACCAGCAAATGAGAGGGCACAGAGCATGGGCAGCATCATTTGACCTGGGCCACCCCAGGGTCCTCAGGCTGTCTAAGAAGCTATATCCAGGAGACGCTGCACCTTCTCCATGGTCACTGCACTGTCCACAGCTGGAGGCTGTACCAGACAAGTGGAGCGGACACTGGGGTGGGTCCTGAGAGCTAGGCATCCCACTCTGCCCCCTCTCAGGCCAGGTGAGTTGGAGCAATTTCTTCTGATCAGGGTGTCTGGCTAGACATTTTTGCCCTGCTTTCAGGAAGCAGTCTGGACAGTGTGGCTGTGAGGCAAGATAGTGACAGCTTCCTCGTCTGCTGGGTCCTGCAGCCCCAGTGTGGGGTCCCAAGTGTAGCCCCAGTGTAGGTCCCAAGTCTCCAGTGGCGCTTGGGCACCTGCCCTGCTATCAGATGGCAGCTCTGCCCCTTCAGTGGACAGGAGAATCCTGGTTAGGACTAGAACTGCAGGAGGGTAGTGAGGAAGGAAGACTGGAACCAGAAAGATGCTTGGGAAAACACAGATCAGCCTCCACTGTCATGGTGACGAGAAGATAGCCTTGTCTTTTGGCCGCCAGTCAAGTCACAGAGAGGCCCAGGTGCCTCCCCAGGTGGAGAACCCGCAGAAACAACCACTAGGCGAGGCCTCTGGTCCACTTAGGAGCTGTGAGAACACACCAGCAGGGGGCAATGTGCCGGGTGAGCCCTTTCTGGGGTGGATGCCGGGAAGGATCCTGTTTGCAGGAGGCTCTCCCAGAGAATATTCACCCTGGCCTGCACATCACAAGCATAGCCAGCCCTAGGTAAAGAGATGGGGACAGGACAGCGACAGTGGCTTTCAAGAATTTGCCACGAAGGGTCTGATCCGGAAGCCTCTGTAATGACACCACCATCCAGGTCTCTGCCTCAGACCCCAGCATGTCCAGCACAGTAGAGCGCTCAGGGCGGTGCAGGGGAAAGAGAATAAAACATGAGGCACCAGATGTTGGCTTTTAATCTCCCAGAGCTTGGCTGCCTGCAAGGTGGGGCAGCGCCTGCTCCTCCCCTCCCCTCCAACAAGCCCTGCCTCGGGATATGTGTGCAGTAACTGTGCAGCAGGACAGACCTGTGTAGATTAACAAGAAACAAGCTCCCTGCATCTGTCCTGTCCCCTCCTGTGGACCTGACTGCCACTGCAAGCCCAGAGCCATCGGGGCTTTCTTTCAATTTGCCTTTTTTTTCTTCTAACATCTAAATGTCACCCCATCCCCTGCCCCTCCAACACAAACACACACACACACAGAGACAGACAGGAGGGAGAGAGACAGAGTGAGTGATACACACACACCCCACACACACACACACACACACACACACACACACACATATATATATATATATATATATATATATATATATATATATATATATATATAGAGAGAGAGAGAGAGAGAGAGAGAGAGAGAGAGAGAGAGAGAGAGAGAGAGAGCCTACTTGTTTTCTGGTGTTTAAGCCTAAAGGGAGCACCTTTACAGAAACACGGAGAGGAGCGGGGAGCCCAGGCAGCCTGCAGCCAGCAGTCACAAAGCTTTGTTGCCCTGCCTTAAGGCTTTCCCTCTGTAGAGGCCAGGGTGTCTGACTTGATGGATGTCGCAAGGACAGAGCGATCTCACAGTGAGACCTACTCAGTTCTTTCCAGCTCCAAATCTCTATGGCTTTAAGGTGTGGGAACCCAAGAATTCCACCCCTAAGGATTTATCTCAGCAAATACTTAGCAAAGAAAAAAAGGAAAGGAAAAGGAAAACAGATACACACACAACAACAATAACAACAGGAACCCCGTCACTGGAAGCTCTGTGTCATAGCATAATCAAAAAGTACTGGAAGCGACCTAAACTTTCAAGAGGAGTTTATGAAATGGTGTCTGTCGGCTAACCGTGGGGGAGCGGTGCACCCCTGGAAAGTGGCAGTCATGTTGACTTTAGCACAGAGTGGTGGGTAGTGGCTATGGTGGCTGGGAGTTACAGTGGGGTGCGGAGGGGGAGGTTAGGTTGTCCTGGAGCCCATTGCCTGGTGCTTCCCAGCCACCAACACCACATCTTAAAGGGTCTTTAGAACACATTCACACCAGATATGGTAGCTTTGGATTCCCTGCCCTGCTCCTGCCCTATCTCACATTGGATGTCATACCGCTGCTGTTTGGGCCGTTCATTGCTCCCCAGAGAACCGTCCAAAGACTCAGTAGAGCGAAGAACAATAAGATGTTCACAGTTCCGGGTGAGGAATTGGGACTGAGCATGGTGGGAATGGTCTCCAGCCTTGCCACGGTGCCTGGCTGGCTTCTGCCTGGATGCTGGAGTCATCCAATGCCTCACTGGGCACATATCTGGTGGCTTGGCTCTGCTGGCTGTCACCCAGAGCCGCCACATGTGGCCGCTGCACACGACTCTGGCTTCGTCACAGCTGAGAGGCTGGTGTCCCAGGAGCAAATGCTGGAGACCGAGGCAGAGCCTCCTTGACTTGAAGTTGCTGGCTTTATTCCTGCTGTGCTCTCATGCTGGAGAAGCCACAGGCTCAGCCCAACTTTCAAAGTACTCTAGAGGTTGAATTTCAAGATCTAGTGACAGACTGGACATGGAGACTAAAGAAGGGGTCATCAGCATGCCACCACTGTACTAGCACACTTCAGGAAAAGACTGTAAAATGTGTGTGCACAGTACATAGGGATTCAGTTTTAAAAATATCATGGGACAGCAATATAGCACATGGACGGAAGAGCTTGCCGCCAATCCTGGCAGCCTGAGTTCGATCCCTGGGACCCACAGGGTAGGAGAGAACTAGTTCCCTCACATTGTCCTCTGACCCCTAACGCACACCGTGGCACATACATAGCCGCCCTACACACACACACACACACACACACACACACGCACGCACGCACGCACACACACACGCGCACACACACACACACACACACACACACGCACACACACACAACACACCACAACACAAAATAAATAAAGCTTTAAAACCTGTTGTTTGGGGAAGCAACATACCAGTTCTTCTTTCGTGTGACTTACTGGCCTTGGTGAGAATTACTGAACCCTACACTATCCACCTAAACCTGAGCGTTAGTATAGTCTCTGAAGATCATGTCGGCCCCAGGGGGACCAGTGCGGAGCCCACTTTCTAAGCACCCACACAGCACCCATGCCATGGTGCTGCCAGCCCTCAAAGACCAATTGTTCCCCTGTGGGCCACGGGGCCCCGAGATCATTGGGAAATGGTGAAAAGTCAGGCAGGGGCTTGTCTGCTTTGAGATACTCAGCTGTCGCCTTTCCTTTTTTCCTTAGGCCTTCGACATTATGAAAGTGACCCATGGCCGAGAGCACAGCCTGATTGAAGATTTAATTCTTCTCTTGGAAGAATGTGATGCCAACATCAGAGCCTCCTAAGGACAGCCAGAGGGACAGGGGAGGTGGCGCACCCTCATTGAACGCCTTACTGAGGTCACACACTCTGTGATACCTGCTGTGTGACCCTCCTGTAGAAAATGCCATTCTGTGTTTGTGTGGGTAGATGTGTTTCCGTGGTGTGTTGTGAGAAGATCTATTCATGGTAGAGCAGAACCATTACAATAAATGCGAAAGATGAGTTGAAAATGCCATCTGGCAGCTTGGCTTTGCCTGCTCATAGGTGATTTGGTAGTTAAGATCTCAGTATTGGAAATAGGAACTTATCAAAACTAGGATGGAAGGCTGGGTGGTGGCGCACACCTTTAATCCCAGCACTTGAGAGGCAGAGGCAGGTGGATCTCTGAGTTCAAGGCCAGTTGGGTCTACATAGTGAATTCTAGGACAGCCAGGGCTATGTGGCGAGACCCTGTCTCAAAAACAAAAGAAATCAAAAATAGGATGGAATAAATTAAAACTTCCTTTTTGGATGTATATAGAGGTAATGGATTAAAATAATCATTTTCACATGTACTCTAAACACAAGTGTACGTCCATTTTATCAAGAAGCAGATTTTTCATTGTTGTTCTTTTTATTTTTATTGACATGTACTTAATAATGTGATTAGCTGTGATATTTCGGTGTTTGAATACACGTGTCCAGCATATACCTATTAAAGGACAAATCTGGCCTCCCTTTTATTTCCTGCCTCTTCAGTTCCCCGTTTCTCACAATCACCCATCCTAACTCTCACACACAAGGGAGAAAGTATCACACTTGTCTCTGTCCCTGGCTTATTTTACTTCCTATCATTTTTTTCAGTTCTATCCATTCTGCTACAGATGACAGAATTTCACTCATCTTTACGGCTGAGTAATATTCCGCTATTTATATGTATTTTGTTTTTCTTCGTGCATGTCGGTGAGGACCTAAGGTGATTACAGCCTCAGCTGTTATGAATAGCTTCACGGTAGACATGGACAGACAACCATGTCTGGGGTTTACAGATTTAATTGCCTTTTGACATATACCAGGAAGTGGGATGGCTGGATCCCACGGTGGTCCTATTTTCCCTTCTTAGATGGCCCTCCATACTGGCATTCTGACTAAGGTTCCCACCGACAGTGTATGAGTTCCTTTTCTCCATGTTCACGCCAGCATTTGTCACCTGGGGGTATGCTTGCCCAGTCATTGACTATAACAGCGTATAACTGCATACGTGATATTTCGTTGTAGTTTCAGTTTCCCTGATGACTGATGATATTGATCGTGTATTTGTGACCGATCAAAGCAGTTGCTCATTTTGTAATCAGAATCTTGCTTTTTGAATCCCTTACATATTGTAAATACACTATGTATTATGATATAAATCCTTCATTGGGAGGATAGTTGGCAAACAGTTCTCTCATTCTATAGCTTGGCTTTTCCTCCATTGTTTTGTGTGCTGTGCAGAACTTCACTGTCATCGTTTGTCTGTCTCTGGGTTTGTTTCCTCTGCTTTTATAATAAAAAATAATGGCCTAGTCCAGCATCTCTGATAGCCGTTACCCTTACTGACATGTCTCCATGCATGTTTCCAGTTCAAATCTTGCATTTGGTCTTTGATCCACCATGAGCTGCGTATTTGTGCAGAATGAAAGATAAAAGTTCGGTTTCCATCTCTTGCATGTGGGTGTCTGCTTTTCCTGCACACCTTGTTGAAGAGGCCAGCCATACAGCCTGCATAGTTTGGGAGCCTTTGTCAAGAATGAGCTGGTCCTCGGTGTGCGAGCCGACCCCTGGGCTCTCTGTCCTGCTCCACTGGTCTGTGTGTCTCTTATTACTCTATAACCACACTGCTTCTGCCATCATGGCTCTGTAGTACATCTTGAAATGAGGCCCCCGATGCCTCCAGCCTCATTCTTTTTGTAGAAGGTTGTTTTATCTGTTCTGAGTCTTTGGTGAAGAAGCAGAATTTTTGAGACGTTGTCTTTACTCCTCTGTGATCAATAACTAAGTACTTTTTTTTCTTTCTGAATACCTCTCCAACCCAGGAATCCTTATCTCAAAGCCTAGGACTAGGTCATTTCAGACATTACTAGAAAAGGATGTAAGTCTCACACAAAAAGAAAAGGATACTGACTTAGCTCTTTGTGTAAATCTTATGAGCATTTTGTAATTCTTCGTGTATGTTATTATTTTCTTAAACTTCTTTTTTTCTGTAATTGCTTGAATCTGTGGTTTGGTGTGTTACTGAGCAGAGCAGAAAGCTCTCTTGTCCTACAGTAAACTGTTCTCACCCTATTCAAATTGACTGGCTTCCTCTGATTTTGTTGTCTTTTCTATTTCCCAACCCTTTGGCCTGTATCTCTATCTTTCTGCTTTGGGTCAATAACAAAAATATTTTCCTTGTCCAAAAAAAGTTGAGCCTTGTATGGTTCACTGGTCCTGGAAGCAGCGTGGTCCTTCACGTTTCAGTGAGATTCTGGTAGTAAAGCAGGTCGGTGGGTTGCTGCAGATGAAATGGCCCTTAGATAGTAGGCCTCCATCTATACTTATGTTACAGGGGTACAGATGCAGGGGGTGAATGCAGAACCCAGAATGGTGACCCTCAGAGGAAGGGTGCAGACTGGCACTCAGAACGACACTCTTATGTGTAACTGAGCCTGAAGGAACAGGCCTTACTTTGTGGCAGTGAAAGCTGACAACCGGAAGCTGGGGGTCCCATCTGCTGGCCATGGAAACAGTGAAGTGTGCAGGATGTCTTAGGCACACTCACAAGCTCCAAGGCCTTTTCCTAAGGGTGCTTCTCTCATGTCCTAGCCATGATGCAGCCAGCACATCCCTAAGGCACATGCTCTCTCTGCTAACCACAGTAGCGTACCAGGTGGGTATCTGAAGACCGCTTCATGAGTGAGCAAACAAGCCTGAAGTCAGGTGCACTAAAACCCCCAGATTTACTGAGTAGCTCTGAGATGACCTTGACCTCAGCCCTTTTGGAAGGGCCAGTTCTACCCAGGTCAACAAATATTTTTAAATGATTCTGATATTTCCAGGAAAAGAGAACACAAACACCAAACAAAACCCGTGTGACCTCAAAATGTACACTGTCCAGGAGAATTTGTATCAGTTAGCTTTTACTGTGTAACAAACAACCCCAGAACTTAAAGACTCAACATAATTTTGTTTAGCTCATACTGCCATAGGTCAGCAATTTGAGCTGGACATTTCTTATTTGTCCCAGGAATATAGTTAATTGGTAGATCGCTTGGAGAATCAGAGTGGCTAGGTGATCTAGCTCCTTAGGTTGACTGGTTAGCTGTGTCCACATGCCAGGAGAGTTCCAAGAACAGTAGATCTATCAACTCCCAGTCGACCAGTGCTTTTCAAGCCTGCTTTCATCACATTGGCTTTAGTCCCATAGGTCAATGCCAATCTCAAGGCCAACTTCAAATCAAGGCATGGATACATGTCCCCTTTGCTGTAGAAACAGCGACAGTCCCACTGCAAGGCACAGGCACAGAGGTGGGGGGCATGGTGCCGTCTACGGCATTCACCATAGCAGCCCTGAAACTATCTTTATGTTACTGAACACTTAACAAATATGACGAAATCTTCACTCTGTACTTCCAGAAACAGACCAGAATAACTTGCTATTAGGATCCAGAATTTTTAGAACGCCCCAGAGCCCATCGGTGAACTCTTTGTCATCCCCATTAAATAAATAAATAAGTAAACTTCTTGCGTTTTGGGAAAAAAAGAAAACCAGGAGAGGGTTGCATTGTTTGTTCCCTTTGAATGCACCGGGGAGATGCTAAGGCCGCAGGAGAAAGTCGGGGGAATAACTTACATGGCCCATGGGCAGAGTTCATGGATAGGAAGGATGCTGTGCTCGCCAACTTCCTGAACGAAATTTATCAGTCGCCGATGATCCTGGATTAAGAGATTTGTTTTCACGCCTCCTAGAGAAAGTCTGATGGGCTTTGAAATCCCTCTCTGCCAGCTTGCAGTGTGTGGGGATGGAGGCGCCCTGCGTGCACCCAGTTTTAATAAAAAGCAAACATTTAAGCAGAGGTAAACATTTGCCCAATAAAATTATAGCAAAATAATTTTGGCAAAGAGGGAAATGGTCAGAGAACACCATTTAAAATCCGTGTTACCAGTGGCTGAGGATTGATTGCGGCCCCAGCCTCCGTGAGACTGTTTCATTAATCCATAGTCATTGTAGCGGCAGGCTTTTTTCACATCAGTAACTTGACGCCATTAGTCGCTCCTCTGGGATGAGAACACATTCAAACTGAAAATGAACACGCCGGGCATAATTTATAGCCGTGCCACATGAATGCCAAGAGTGTGGGGAGGAAGCTGCTTGGGAACCCACGCGTGGTGGCTACTCAGACCTCACTTCTCTGAGCAGCAGACAGACAGCTGTAAAACACAGGCCCCGGTTAGACTAGCTGCAGGGAGGGAGGGCAATTCCAGGCAGGACCAGATGTCTTGAAAATTCCTTCGGAGTCCAGTCAGGAATGGGTGTTAGGCTCCCACGGGGGAGCCCACTGGGATTCTGCAGGGAGAGGGTTCTGGACATTGTCTGTGGGACACCATGAAATCCTCATGAAGGATGCTTCTGGATGACATTGGACCCCTCCTTTCCTCTGAGGTCTAGAAGAGGTCAAGATGATGGAAGAACAAGCAACACCTCCAAACTAGAACACCCCCTTAACATTTGGGGCTCTGTAAACATCAGGGAGATGATGCTCCCAGCATGTTCACTACTAATCCAAAGCAGTGGGTGCCTCTCTCTCTGTGGTCACCTCAGGACTCCATCACTCAGTTGCTGACTCTCCCTTCTCCTCTACCAAGGGAATAAAACGTCCTATCCATCCCCTGAAGTACCTTCTAAATCTCATATCCATTCCCAGAAACTTCACAGGCTCCAGCATCATCCCTCAGCAGCTGAAAAGATGCCTCATTCCTCTCCCTTGCTGTCCTCCCCTTCCTCCTCCCTCAGAGCTGCAGAGGGGCCTCTCAGATGCTTGCTTCATCGTGTCCTCTTGAAACACCTCTGCTCAGAATCTTAGAGTGGATCTCCATTGCTAGCTACTCTGGATCTAGTCTTCTGGCCCTTGAGCTACAATGTCCTGTCCTTCTGGAGTCCTGCATGAACCTAACATTCCACTCCAGCTGGACTAGCATTCCAACCTCAGGACCCTGTGTGTGTGTGTGTGTGTGTGTGTGTGTGTGTGTGTGTGTGTGTGTGTGTGTGTGTGTACAAATGCATAAGAATATCACTGTAGGAGACCATGTGAGGGGGAAATGGAAGTTGGAGGGAATGTAAGGAGAGGATAATAGAATGTATACGGTATGAAAGTGAAAAGGGGGGAGATACAGCAGAGGAGGGCCCACCCACAAATATATGAGCCTAAGTATAAAAATGCCACAACGAAGCCTGCATGCATTGCATGCTAATTGTAAATGATTTTTAAGTAGCAAATATAGGGGCTGGAGAGATGGCTTAGCAGTTAAGAGCACTAGCTGCTCTTTCAGAGGACCCAAGTTCAATTCCCAGCACTTATAATGGCAGCTCACAACTGTCTGTAACTCCAATTCCAAGAGATATGTTGCCCTCTTCTGACTTTCAAGATACTAGGCACACATGGGATGCATGGACATACATGCAAGCAAATGCTTACAAATAAAATAATAAAAAATTATTTTTTTTCCTTTTAAAGTAAATCTAGACTAAAAACTGCAAGTAATCTCTCCTATGAGGCGATTGTGTGGCCTTAGCTCTCTGGAGTTCTTTGTTTTTATATTTTTGCTTAGCATTATGGTAAATAGTCTCCATTTTATTGTCACATTTTTTAGGATTCTCTGAGTTCCACTACTGCTACTAGGAATTTGCAAGAATTCTTGCTTATCTTTTGTTCACTAAAGGAGAAAACGACAGGAAAAACACTAGTTTAGTGTTTTTAAAAAGTGTTGTCCTATTCTCCGATCTCAGTGTATTACCCCTCTGGGAATATTAAAGATGTGAGAGAATTTTAATTCTTTTTCCTTGCTACGTATTTTTCCATCAAATTGTCTTCTTTTGCTTGGACAAGGCTCCAGCTTCCACATCTATCTTTTCCTGTGTCTCTCTGTTTATAATTTAAGGTAGGATTCCATGCACCTGCTCTGTCCTTCATGGCTTCCCGTTGAAGAACAGGAGGGTCCTGAGGCAAAGCTTTCCATTAAAACGGTGAAAAGGGAGCAGGTAATTTTTGAAACATTGGAGAAATCTAAAGGCAGTGGAGGAGAATCTAGGCCGATGAGGAGATGAGGGATTAGATAGAGGGCAAAGTGCCAAAACTGTCCCCAAAGGCGTTTGTCAGTGCCACAGACTCAGACATCAGAAGCTTTCCTGGGAAAGGGTCAGTAGCTATGGTTCCTAACCTCCCTGAGCAGGGCAGACATAGAGGAGAGCCTGTCCATGTTGCGCTGAGACCCCACATGGCTGCCACGTGGACTGAGCATTTACTGTGAGGAGAAATGGCCATGCTGTGACATGTGCATGAATGATAAATGGAAGGAGGGATGGCAAAGGCCTCCTGTACCACCAGCACCTGTATAAGCTTCAGTCTAGGCAGGGAAAGCCGGGTTGAGCAAGAGACATCTCACTTCAAACTGATTCCAAGTTGTCTCCAAGCAGCAGGCTTCCCAGGGGTCTGGGAGAAATCAGTAGACAGCTTCAGAAGCAAGTCTGCCACCACCACTTCAGGAAGCCCCAAAGTCATCATTCAAGGTCAGCAAATGACCTTGCCCATGGTAATCAGCAACTTGAGATCCAAAGCAACTTGAATTAGAGCCCGGAGAAACAGACTTAGATTTCACATCATGGAAATAAGTCAATTATAGAATTCTGGAAACTAGAGACCAACTTCATATCATAAAAGTGGGAAGATGGGTTCATGAGCACCCACCCATAGTTGATGAACTATTGACAATTAATGTCTGCTGGGCACGGGGAGAGAGCTGGTTTTCTTTAAGAACATGGTTCCTGTTAGGTCTACCGTGCTCCAGATGGTGCCACACCCAAGTACATGGGCAGCACAAATTACACTTGAAGTAGGGACAAGCTGGGGAGGTGGCAGAGGTGGGTCTGTGGGGAGTTAAGCAGAGAAGTGGGGTATGTGAATATGATCAGTACATCATGCACGCATGGAATTCTCAAAGAATTAATAAAATAGACATTTTTAAAGTGACATTCTATATCTGAATAGAACCATACAGAGCCTAGAGGTGGAAACTAATTTCTGAAATCA